TGACGGATGTTAAAAGCATTCAACCAAAAAGCTGCGCCTTTGTGTTCACCCAACATCTGATACATATTTTGAAACACAAGGAAACGGCCATAGATATGATTATATCTTGCACACAGAAAATGTGATATTCAGTGAAGCGCCAGCAGATTTTGCAAATTTAAAAACTGATCATATCCCACTTTTTATACAATGTAGACTTGACCCTGATCAAGTTATTGCAAAACCTCCATTCGATGGCTTATTTCGAAAGCAAAAATTAAAACAATATGCTACTTTAATTTCAATTATCAATAATCATTTAGCATATTGTGCCTAAACTATGCTGAAGTAACTCATATCCATATGCTAACATTAAGCTGGGCTGAAAATGTGCTGGAATTTTCAGTAATATTAATACACTCAAACCTCTCATAACTAGACTCCGAAGTTAGCCGATCGAGTTAGTCAAGCAGTCGACTCTAGCTGGATTCAACTCAGTCGCTTTTTTGTCACATTTTTAACAAACAAACAATATCGAAAGGATTGTTATACAATAAAAGATCGCGATTTTATCAACGGCATCAAATTTGACCTTATTATCCTTTTAATTCGCAAGTCTTTTTTTAGTAAATTGATTTTGAATTGATGAAAAATTTGGTCTTCTACCGAATGTCTGTTAAATTGTGTTTCGATAATGACCTGAACCTTTCAATCGGTCTATATTGAGTTATATTGGGCGAATTATATCCTTTTCAACAGCTTTGAGGCCGAATTTCGTCATTTTTAGATTCTTCAAAACCCTGGTATGAAGTTGAAAATATAAGGTTTTTAACGAAAGGCATTCGAATCGAAATCAGATTTTGAACCTTTGTCCATTTAAGGCCATATTTTGATGATCTTTTATCAAAATTAATTTATTTTTTCACAACGTATTCTTGCGAAGTCCACCTCTGATTTAACTATGCAATGGTGCCTGTGAGTCTAGTCCAACTGTCTCATATCAATGCTCAAAAATTTGTTCAAAACTTTACCAGTCATACCTTATAATAGAAACTTTTCATCTAATGTTTAAACGTGAAAGTCAATGTTATCATCAATGTCAGGTTTCTTGACAAAATATCCAAATTCATATTGATAATATTGATAAGTTCAGTTGAAATCTTCGCTTCGCTTTGCTACGCTCCAACAACAAGAAAATGAAAAAAATAAAACTATTATATTATTAGATATTCTTATTATTTAGATCTATTTATCATCACCTTGAAAGAAAAATCAGCACAAGAATCTAAGCAGAACTAACTTGACATTATTAATATTGGCAGTTCTGTAAACAATGTTCATCGCGTGGAAGCAACTCACCTCTAGACCTTTATTGATCCCTCGTTAGTACTAAATTACTGAGCCAATGGTTCCAATGCCATTTTACTTGGCTGGCAAAAAATGTAAAAAATTTAAAAATATTTAATCAACGAATTGTCATAGAAACATAGAATGGACATCTATACAAATAAAGGTTATTTGACTTTTTCAGACGCATAGATTTAGACACTAAACACTCTAAAATTTCAATTTGATTTTGATTCTATTCTTTCATGTAAACGAGATCAATTAATACAATGGATTCAAATTTTGTGTCTGACCCACCGAAACAACCTTTCATCAAAATACGAGTAATTGTTTGTGTGGCCGCTTTCTTTATAAATATCATATTCTGTTCCTCCAAAATGACCATAGTCGTATCATCGGTCTCTATAGTACATTCACATACTCGATCAGAGTCATTGAAAAATGAAGTCACCAATGCTGGGCTGCAGGACAAACTTAACAGTCGCAAAATCGATACAGAGTCTAATTTTAAATGGACTCAAAGTACCGTTGATAGGTTGATTTCAATAATGTTTTGTGGAGGTTTGTTTAGTCCTATTCCGGCTGGTCGATTGGCTGATAGATTGAGACCAAAGCGAATTGTATTGGCAAGTTGTCTCACGGCTGGAGTCTCAATGTTATTATTTCCTTGGGCTGTTAGATGGAATGTCTATGCCGTCTGTGCTCTAGCTTTTGTCATCGGATTCTTCTTAGGTCCTGGACTATCCAGTTACAGTGGTTTGGCCTCTCGTTGGTCACCCAAATATGAAAAAACTTTATTCATCACAACCATATCTTCGGGTGCAATGATAGCCATGATATTAACAGGTCCATTCGTTGGTTACTTATGTAGTCTCAACTATCTTGGTGGCTGGCCTTTACCATTTTATATTTTAGGTTCAGGCAACATTTTTATGGGACTTTTGTGGTTTATGATTGTTACTGATGAACCAGAAAAGCATCCATTAATAAGTCAAGCAGAGAAAGAATATATACTCAAAGAACGGTCAACGATAAACGATAAAATTAATTCAGTGAGTAACAGATAAAAGCTTTGCATAATGTACACAGATTTTTTTGTCTTAAGTTGACTAATATTTTAGCAATTTATGATTCAAATCCTAATGCCTCAACTTTTTGCTGCGTTATTAGTCTTAATTTGCCCTGATGCTAGCAAACCAGAGGCCATGACAATTACGCGCTATCATTTTCAACCCGGGAAAATCTCTTTTTTATTGATTTCTTTATCAGAATAATCCTATTCCATGGGTACAAATGTTCCTCTCAGGTCCTGTTTGGGCTTTGATTTTTGTTCACTTTTCTCATGGTTGGTATAGTGCTGTGATTGCCACCCAAATTCCAGAATTTTTCAAATCTTTGTTGAAGATATCAATGACACAGGTAAAGAAAACTTGAAGTGAAGAAATCCATCTTTATTAATGTCTTACTCTTTTCTTTAAGGATGGTGTATATGCAGCTTTACCTTACGTTGGATCATCGATTTCATTAACTATGTTTAGTTATTGTTCAGATAAATTACGTGAGAAAGGTATATTTTCAACTACAGCAATCAGGAAAATATGTGCCGATTTCGGTGAGTTTGTCGTTTAAACAATTAAATTTTTTATGCGGCAACAAAATTTTCTAATTACACTTTTCATTTTATATTTAATTTAAGGCTTCATTTTCGGACCATTGTTTCTCGTAGTGTCAACCCTAGTTGGCCACAAAACGAAAGCAGTGATCACTTGTATTGTACTCGCCAAAACATTAGCCGCTGCACAGATTGCTGGTAGTTATGGTGTTCACCTAGATTTAGCACCAACCTATTCTGGTTTATTGGGTGGTTTAATTGATAGCATGCACAATTTTGGCGGTATGATAATGAATCAAACAGCTTATTACTTAGTTGGTGATCACCCTGATCTCCACCATTGGTCAAACCTTTTTCTGGTAACCACAGCTATTTGTATCATAGGGACTCATTATTTTGCTCTATTGGGTTCATCTAAGCTTCAACCGTGGGATCCAACATTTGAATCAGAAGAGAAGGCTTTTGATGATGACCAAAATGGACAATTAGCTGCTACAACAATTTACGATCCAGAAGTGTATATCCTTGACTCAGCATCAGGTTCAATGATTAATAGGAAATATTCAAGACCTTCACTGTCTCAGTAATGATAATATTAATATTTATCAAAGTTGTCCTCCACCAAAAAAAGGATAATTCAATGAAAGGAGGCAAAAAAACAACCAATAATGTCAACATCAATTAAGTCGATGCAATCTGTGATTCTAATGTACAAATAGCTCGTCCGATATTACAATTATATTGATTTCGGTTAAATTGACAATCTTGTTAAACTGTTGAGTCTTCTGAATCTATTAAAATGTATCGATTGAATTAAATCTTTTCACTTTTTTCTCATTCCACACTCTGTTTATTCCTGATTCTTAATATTTACCAGTCTTTATTGCTATTATGTTTATTATCATTAAGATTGCCATGTCAACCATGAAATGACCGATGAATATTGTTTTGTATTTCACGTTTAATTTATCGGTCCCTTTATAGCAAAGAGAAAGAGTTATCACTCTTTGCTTTATCGTCTGATAACTTGTTGATCTCTTAGTCAACATATTTCCGTAAAGAAACAAGATTGCTCTGTTTATTTGTTTTCCAGTTGAAATCTATTGTTAAATTGTCTATTTGTTAATGTTAAATTAAAGTTAATTTTTTCTAGTTAATATTTCCAATTGTTAAATCATTTATGGTTAAAGTGGCAAATTTTGCACTAAATTTGCTTCCAAATAAATCTCAAATTTTCAGAAAATTGACTCGCTCTGAAAAATGTCTTCTCCTGTTAGTCATTGTAACATTATTCATATGTTTTACATTAGCCATTGTGATTATCACATCTTACTGCCAAGGTAAGCCTTTTCTTGTCCAATCTCAAGTGTCAATTTTAATTTCTATTTAAACATACAATTGAATAATCAAACATCATTAACAAGCTGTTAATCAATTTTGGGTATATTTGGGTCTAACAACTGTTTCTGTTTTCAATGTTTTAGTTAACAAAGTTTGTTTAAGCCGAGAGTGTATCAAAGCAGGTAAGTTGCTTTGTTTTTCAAATCATGTTTTCTTTATAAAATGCTTTTATTTATTTACTGATTAATTATAAATTGTTTAGCCTCTACTATTTTGGACCAACTAAATGAAGAAGTTTCACCATGTGATGGTTTTTATGAATTTGCATGCGGAGGATTAGACAATGAATTTATAGAGATACCAGAGGATCGTACAAACATGTGGACTACTTCACTAGCTCAAGTAAAGATTAACAACAGATTGAAAGGTAAGTGATTCTATTAGCATTTGATTTTTATTTAATTCTCAATCTTTTTCCAGTTCTTCTAGAATCCATCAATACAACACAAAATGATAATTATTTGACTAAAATGAAAAATCTTTATGATTTGTGTATGGATAAAGGTATGTATTTAACTTTTGCAGAAGTCAACAGTAAATTGAATTTTTTCTGGTTTTGTTCACATTTTACAGATAATTTGGAAAATTTAGGAAGCTCTTTACTCCTTGGTGTTCTCGATCAGTTAGGTGGTTGGCCTGTGGTTTCGGGAACCAAATGGAAGCAAGATGAGTTTGACGTTGTTGATACATTGGTCAATATGCGTAAATATGGTTATCCTCATGACATCTTTGCTTCGATCACCATTTCACCACACATTTTCTACCAAAAATTCAACGTTATCTATGTAAATTGACCGAACTCCAATTGAACTGTACATATTAATAACAATCGTTTATTTGTGCAGATTGGTGAGGCCAATTTAGCTTTAGAAGAACGTAGTTACTACGAGGAAGATCTAGATGATCCCGTTCTTCAGGAATACCTACGTTTTATGGTAAAATCGAGTGTATACCTTGGAGCTGATCAAGCCTTAGCTGAAGCTGAAATGGCAAAAGTGTTACAATTTGCGATACAATTGGCTTTAGTGAGTATTTCAAAGAATGTAAATTCTTAGAACGTTATATATTTTAATTTTTTCTCGTTTACAGCTGACAATATCTCGTAATACTCCTCACAACTATTACAACCCAATGAAGATTGACCAGTTACAAGCATTATCACAGGAAGCGTACAACTGGACTCAATATTTCAATGGCATCTTTGATCCATTTTCAATTGTTAATAATGACAGCTACATAATTGTTTATGTGCCAAATTATATTAAAGCCGTGAGTGAGCTGATTGAATCAACAGATAAAAGGTTGGTCCATATAACTTCCATATTCATATAAGGTCCATATGTAACAATATCTATAAAAATTATAAACATATAGAGTTTTGGCCAACTATTTGTTATGGCGAGTTGTGCTCAGTTCAACCGTTTTACTAGACGAACGCTGGGCCTTGCTGGGTCGTGAATTTTATCAACATATCGATGGACGTAAATCATTAAAGCCTAGACATTCATTTTGCATGGAAACGGTCAAAAAATATTTCAACATTGGTTCATCTGGACTTTATATTAATGCAACTGAAGACAAAAGTAATCTCAATTTGGTAAGCTTGAATAAAATAATTTTGTATCGGTTTTGTCCATTCTACTTTTTCTTGTCATATTCATAACATCTGATTGATTTATCAATTTCCACTCACATTTATTGCATTTTTCCCTTCTATATCTCGCCTTATTTATTTGGACAGATGTCAAAAATGACCGAATATATCAAAGAATCTTTTGTTGGAATGATTAAATCATCTGATTGGATGGATGCACAATCAATGGAAGCTGCTCTAAATAAGACAAGTTTGATGACCTTACATGTTGGTTATCCCCAGGAATTGACTGATTTCGATATAATCAATGATTATTATCAAGAGGTAAGTCATTTCCGCAATCTTTTTTATCCAAAACTCCTAGCCACAACAAAATTAATACCCTAATGTTTTTACCTGTTCACATATTCACTTTTATTGATTATAATTGTTATGCATTCCTCTCTATTTGTTTCTCTCTTTGACCAGGTTCCTACTGGTAGAAACACTACATGGTTTGAAATGATTTTGTTTCTCAGACATTGGAAGAAGGATAAAGATTACCTCAAGATTACTACTGGAAATGAGAAAGGATTGTAAAGTGTTCAGCATTTCCAGATTGATTATCAGTATTTTTTAAAATTAATTCTCGTCTTTTTTATCTTTTTTCCACCTAAAGTTGGGTTGATTACAGTAATGTTATCGATATAAATGCTTATTACCGTCATCAAGAAAATAGCATTCAATTTCCACTCAGCATCATTGAATCAACTGGAATCAATGCTGATTATCCCATGTAAGATCAAGTATACGTTGATTTACTTAAATTAAAAGATTCATTTTGTATTGCAGGTACTTAAATTTCGGAGCAGTTGGCTGGATTATTGGACATGAAATTTCTCATGGTTTTGACACTGTTGGTAGAAAATTTGATGAGCACGGGAATTATGAAAATTGGTGGTCAGATTCAACTACGGAAAAATTTGAAGCCAAAACTCGCTGCTATGCAGAACAGTATAGTCAATTTGAACTCAAAAAGACTGGTGAAAAGGTAAACTGATTTTATCACTAATTGATTTGACAAAATGTTAATCATTTATCCAATAACTTATCCAGGTTAATGGAAATCGAACACTTGCTGAAAATATAGCAGACAATGGTGGCATGAAACAAGCAATTGTGGTAAGTTTAGGACAAATGGTTATTACAAGATAGACATTATTTACATTTATCACTTATTTAAGCTTGCAATTTGATCTTATTTATAAATTGTAATTTGATAATTTGAAAGGCTTACAAAAAGTACGTCAAGGATCACGGAGAAGAGCCATTATTACCTGGCCTTAAATATAATCCATATCAACTATTTTTCATTAGATCAGCTCATGTAAAGTATCTTTTATTGCTCTATTACGTCTGTCGTTATTTAAACAATTTAACCTGATTTTTTTACCTTTTGTTTTAATTCACCAGTTTTATTGTGGCAAATGGAGGACTCCAGCTTTATCTCATATGATACGAACAGATGTACATAGTCCAGGAATTTTTAGGTGACCCATAATTTATTGTGTTACTTGATATCAGACAAAATTCCCACAAATCATGTTATCTAATTATACTTTTTTTTTCTTATCTTCAGAATTATCGGCACTTTGTCAAACATGGTTGAATTTTCTGAAGCCTTCAACTGTCCATCCAAAGCTAAAATGAATCCAGAAAAAAAGTGCACTCTTTGGTAAAATATTACTCCACATTGAAATATTACTCTGTTTTGATTATTTGATCTTGTATCAAACAGTAAACATCAATATAATTTCTCGGTTGATTTAAAACCTCTACGTATCTTCGGTATCTGTATTGTATCTTCTGGCTTAATTGTTGTTTGAAGCAAGAATGAATTTGACTCAAAGATCAAATATTGTTATTGTCTTTGCTACATTATTTTGAAAATGAAATTCAGAGATTGATTAAAATTATCAAGTTTTTCTTGTATTAGATGTTTAGTAGTTTGAAATTGATGCACTAGATGACGTCTCAAGTCACTCACAATAAAATCTATTTTAATAACAATGACAAAGATTAATTGATATTTATTTTATTTCATCAAATTATATCATTATATTGCTCTTTTTGTCAATTAAATAGTTTATTTTTGTGCACACATCCAATAAATGTTTTGAGTTAATAGTAAAAGTGGTCTTACCCAGAATGAGATTTACCCAGTTGCTACAATTCAAGTTGTAAACATAAGATAATAAACCTTAATATTTGGGATTTTCAATGAATATAATTTACTTTATTTTGTTCTTCTAACATTTACAATTGAATTGTTTTTTATTCACTTGAAACAAGTGTAAATGATTATTTGTTATATTCACTATGAGTGCTAATTCCAAAACAAAAAAGCGTATAATTCCAACAATTTACACCTACGATGTGGATGACTATGATGATACTGAGGAAATGGTAAGTTCATATTTTATTGTTTCAATGTCCAATTTTGTGTTTAATCAATCAAATTGTACAATTAGTTAACATTGTTTGCTCAACTTTCAGAGATATGAATTGAAAACTTCTCATTGTGGTATAGTTAATGCTTATGTCCAAGGAGATCTTAGTCAAGTTACTCTTACAACTCCAGTTTTTTTAACAATCCATGATGTAGGAACTAATCGTAAGTACATTAGTTAATCTAATATGTTCAGTAAAGTTTCGGGTTTCACGAAAATGAGAATAAACAAATTCAAATTACACGATTGTCCATGTAAGAAAAAAAAGACAAAAGAAAGCAAAAACAACAAAAAAGCTTTCCATTTGTTTGAAAAGTGAAAAAACATAGCCCAAGATACAAAGATTGGATTGAGTTTATCTCATTTTTGACAATTTATTCAATCTTTAAACAAGATTATATTCTTATATTCTCATGAGCATCTCTTGATTCTCATCTATCACTTATATTAATAAACTCAAGATTCGACCAAGAAATAGTAAAGTGAAGGGGAAAAGACCATTAAATTAATTGACAATTTTATTCAAGTGCTCTTTATTTTTGATTTTCATAAATCTAATACAGTAAGAGCTGAGATAATGAGACTCTTGGAATAGCTTATTCCCACTATTCGTCGGGCAGTGTATTTTCATCATTTTAAGCTTCCTCAATAGATCAAATTTAACGTAAATTGATTGATATTTTACGCAAGAAAATTTAACTCTTCCTTAATTAAAGGCTGTTAAATTTTGTCATTATCTCAGCCTTTACTTCAATCTACCTTATTCGATCTCATCAGATGTTAATTTAATTAGCCAGACTTAATTGCAGATTAAATAAAGAATAATTCCAACACCATTCAAACAAATCTTGTTAGCCAAAATCTTATTCAATTATCGAAGCACCAGCAATGTTTCATGATTGAATCTGAGCAAAGAAGAACCATCCCTTAGGCAAATTGGAAGATTCATTATTAAATTAACAATTGTAATGCACAGCAATTATGAGGAAATTATGTATTACATAAAAACTTAAGATAACATAGCAACGACTATTGCCCTGTGGATGCAAATTTGCATTGGTTCATTACTTTTTCTGTTCTTAATTTAGATACGGAATTTCATAAATTGGTTGAACATTCATGCATGGGAAAGTTGAAAGCTCGCTCAGTTTGGATTCACATTGAAGTACCGGGTCAAGAATTTGATGCTCCAGATTTACCAGATAGTTTCCCATTCCCTTCGATGCAAGATCTAAGTGAAGATATTCCAGCGATTCTTGATTTTTTCAAGTAAACAGATTTCCTGGTTGTTTTACAACTTGTGTCATATAAATATTACAATTCCTTTCTTTATGATGTTAATTATAACAGGATGAAATATTGTGTTGGTATTGGTGAAGGCGCTGGAGCCAACGTGATCGCTCGTTTCGCTGTAAGTAACATCCAATAATGAGAATCCTATGTCACCGAAAGACTCCAGAAAGATTTGTAACCAACAATATGTGTTCCTCTAATTGATTGATTAATAGATGGATAATCCAGATCGTATCCTTGGAGTGGTTCTCATTCATTGTAGGCCAACGGTAATTAAACCATTACAATTGTTATTATTCCGATCATCATCATCAACTTTACCAGCTATAAATAAATTGATGAGGTAAGTTTATTAATATCATGTAATGTTATCATTCAATCCACTAATGTTTCATTTTTTCCTTTTTCATTTTCGTTCTCTTCAGGATCTCCACAGCCTTGAAGTAGTTGATTCATTAATAGCTACTAATTATCGGCTATTAAAAGTTAGAACAATAAATTGACAATGATTGGCAAAAAGTACAAGTTTATGGTGAAACTGTGTGTTGAGCAATGAAGGGTTGACAGTCATTAACTTTCAATTGATATAAATGTTGAACAATCTTGATGAGTTGACAAAAGATGTAAACAAAAAAATTGAAATAATTTCCATCTCTTGATTGTCAAGGTCAGGTAATTAGTTGATTGCACACAACTTTCCATCCACCAAGATGATCAGTCACATCAGGTTGATGAGATTTTTGTAACTTTTTGTCTATTTGAAGTAAATCATTCTCGATCAATGAGAAAAATCTTGAGGCTTTGAAGAGCATAATTTTGTATATTACAATAAGTTGCTGATGATGATTTGGTGAACATATTTACGATTGTTTGAATTCACTTTGAAGGTTTATTGCTCCAATTTGGTTTGGTGTAATTATAATCAATTTAATTCAATTTAGGCTGCTGATAATAAGGAAAACAGGCAAACAGTGGGTAAAAAGTTTTTGAGAAAGCAACTCCAACGTCGTATCAATGCTAAGAATGTTAAACGTTACCAGGATGCTTATTTAAGGTAAGATCATTTGTTCCTTCCTTTTAATCAACTCAATCAATGATTAAATTAATGATAATGAATAATATAAACAAGAACAAAGGAAAAAGTCATAAAGTTTCACTGGAATGATGAAAGTAATGAGAGCCAATATTTATATTTATCAACTGCAAATTAGACGTGTAGACTTTTAATGTAGATACATATTAATGTTGATTTTAGTTGATAAACTAGATTGTCAATTGTCAATTGTTGTATTAGACAATATAAACAATAAACACAATTATTTAGTACGAATGATGATTATATTAGTACAACAGCAAGAGTAAACACAGGTTGGAGTAAACAAATGTAAAAATCAAAGGTTTAGTTCACAATTCACTTACTTAGTTCATTAAGACTTTCAATAACTGCATCTAGAGTTGATTACAATTGAAATACGTAAAGGCCAACACACAAAGAGAGCAACCAATTTACCAAGATTGTTGAACTGTACTTTTGTTGGACTTGAAATTCCCATAAGTACTAGAAAGGTACACGAAAAGGGTAACAGTAACAGTTAATGAACACAATGCCTAATAAAAGTTTAACCAGTTGAAACCAATTGTTCCCAATTGAGCAATTGCTATTGATGATGGAACACAACAGTCGATTACACAATTGCTGTAGTAAATCAGCTAATGTATTAGCTAATACAAAATCATGTTGATGGTGTTAATTTAATGGATGCTGTTTCTGATCTTAAAATGATCAAACACAAGCAACCAAATGTAAATCAATTAAACTGATAAAACCAAACATGGTTTCAAATGAATAATTAATTATTACATAAAAAATAAATTATATGGCAATAAATTGGTCGATACTAATTAAACATCAACAGACACGCATTCAACTCTACATGTGTTTATAGCGGGAAAATGCGTTGAGAGTAGCTCCATCCAGTGATTTAGTTATACAGTTTGTGTAACATCTGGTTTTGAATTTGTAAATGATTTGAATTAATTTTTGATTTATTTTGTTTGTTGATTTATTTAGTCGAACCGATATTTCAAGCCAATTAAAGGATAAACTGAAAGTTGATGCTCTTGTGGTTACTGGAAGTCGATCTCAACTTGTTCAAGCAGCAAATCAACTTCAATCCCTTTTGGACCCAAAGTTGACTACAATTGTTAAAATTGACGATTGCTCTGATATATTTACTGAATCTCCTGAAACATTTGCTTATAATCTTTTACTCTTTTGCCAAGGACTTGGATTATGTAAGTAGCATTAGCATTAATTTAATAACAACCAGTTGATCATCATCTGATATTCTCATTGAGAATTATTTAAGAGAAAAAAGAAGTAAAATTACCACTAATAATATTATCATGTACAGTCACTTATTGATATCCAATTCAACAATTTGTTTCTCTTTTCCCACTTTCTCTATCTCTTTTATTCATGATTGATTTTATTTAAGTCACTTAGTTAATGGTTATGAACATAATGTAAAGTCAATTATTGATTAATTTGACTATTATTGGTATTGATTAGTGATTAAAAGGCAACCATGAGGCTCCAATCGATTGAAGAGTTGGAGTGAGAGAAACCAAGAGAAAGCTGTAATAAGAAAAAGGAAAACTGGAATAAGATGATGAATAACAGTTTATCTATTCAATTAATTTAATCATCAATCATTTAACCTTTAATTTATTGGAATTCTTTATTTTCTCATTTCAGTCAGTGCACTTCCAATGTCACGCCATGGATCAATTTGTGTCTAACCAAGCTACGTAAATGGTCAAGAATAAAAGACGATCCTAAGCCAAAGAAAGCCTAGTCATAAGGAACAAAAAAGCAAATGGATTGGCGGACGTTTCATTTTCAATTTTTTTAATATAACATATTTCTTGTTAAAACTAACCGAAGTTTCACTTTCCTCTTTTACAAGTGAAACAAATTTCGATAAAAAATCTTTCATTTCAATGGCATTTCCAGTTTCTTTGGCCTCTCCATGATAGTCAAGTTAATCCGTGTTATTGCAGCAAATAACCAATGTGTAAAGACTCAAGTTTTAAAGACTAAAGTTTTCAAGCCAATAATGTTTGGATATCAAGACTGAAGCTGAACAAACAACAAAAAACTCCAACATGAGGGAAAAGGTGCAAAAAAAGAGTGTAACTAAAGGCAAAACAATAACACCAGTAAAGAACAGCAATATTCGAGTTTTCTGTTTGTTTTCGAAGTTTCCAGGATTGAATTGATCTTGTTCCTGTTGCATGATTTATCGACTCAAGAGGTAATAGAAAAGGAAAATGATGAAGGCCAAGAATGATGAAGATGGCAACAAAGTAAAGAGCAAAGGCTGACAAAGTCATCTCTTAAGTAATGTACTGTTGAAATGACAGACAAATAAGGGTTACACTGTGAACTGGCCAAATTGCCAAAAGACAAAGTTGCCAAAATTTGGAATGAAAAAATAAGGAGGAAAACAAAAGAAGTAAAAGGCAGAAAATGAGAAAAGCTGAAACATTGAAAAGAGTGCACTTTTCTGTTTTGTTTTAGCTTCAAATTATTTCTCATTACCAGAAAACAACAACAACAACAACAAGATGAAGATGTTTTTCACTCACTCATTCATCATCCATAATCTTCCATAATCTTCCGTCATCATCATTATAATCATAATAATAATAATAATAATAATCTTACCCAACCAGACAAACAAACAAAGTGTAGGTTGAAATGGTTTTCAATAATATTGTTGTCTGTGGGTGACATGAAGACTCTTTAGACCCGCAACTTCTTTCCCTCTTTTCACCCACTTTTACCCACTTTTTCCACTCTAATCACATCAAAGCTTTAACTAAAGCCATTTAAAACACATCAATACACAAATATACTAAACAAGCAAACCACCAGACAGATAAACAATTGATTACCCAAAAAACCCAAAGCATTCAAGTTTAATTTTTGTATTTCCTCTCAATCATTTGATTTATTTTCATTCCCTCTACGCCGTATCTTCCCAAGCAACTTTTACCTTCCCTTATCATCATCATTCTCATCATGTTACATGATACTGACTTAACATTGATGTTTACATGCAAAGAAGAGAGTAAACCCAAAGATTGTCACATGTAAAAGAAGCGATTAATTTCAAAAACTCGGAACCATTTTTCGTCTCCATTTCAATTAATCTCTCAATAATGGTGACATTGAAAATTGTTTCCTCAAATAAGTCATTCTAATCACTTTACTTAATGATTCAATTTCATATGTTGATTAATCAACACTTGAATTGAAGTGTTGACTTTTCAATATTTGCCATTTCAACTGAAATCTGAATTAAATTAAGACTCAACATAATAATAAAAAAGAAAGAAATTGAATCCTAAAAACTCAACCTTACCTTTGAACAAAATTGTACAAAAAACACCAGCAACTTGCCTCTTTCAATGTATTAAAATAATGCCAACTGTATGAGTATAAAGAGTGGATGAAATGAATTCAATGTTTAATTTAGTTCACCTTTTGATTGTGGAAAGATCTTTCAATAACATCAATATTGATCTTGTTGTTTGCTCTTTATTTTGCTTTATTTCATTCTGTCTCATTTTGTGTATTGAAAGTTGAGTAAAATTGAACTTGTAAAACTTCAAAATTACATTGCAATGAAAGCAAAATTTTTATTCGTGTTTCTGTCAGCTCACAATTTTCATCTCATTCCGTCTTATTTTTCCTGTTCAACATTAAATTATGTGTAACATTCAGGTTTATATAGTTTATCCTTACGCAAAAATTGTATATTATCAGGTTGTTGACAAGATTTAACTGGAGATTTTTTTTCTTTAAAAATGCAATTCCATTTCAATGCTGTCTATCTGTCTCATGTAACTGAGTTGCTTCAGATTGCAACTAGACTCAACTTTTACACCATTCAATCATTGAAAAGGTAAAAAATAAAATATTTTGCTTTTACAAATCGATTCATTCAATAAATAATGGGCTTTAATAGATCTGGTAAACATGATTATAATGATAAAGGGAGAGTGGAAAGATAAATATTCATAAATTTAATCTACAAATGACCATGAAGTTATTGAATGCGGAATTTATAGATTCAATTGCAAAAATCAAGTGCAACATCTAAAGACAGATTTGAGTGGATAGAAATATATGAATGGGTCAAACTTCGTCATCTACTATTTAGCTAATCATGCAATGATTCGACGAGAAACTCTGAACAAAAGAATATGGAAATTGTTTCGAGAGAAATATTGATCGAATTCATTTAATGCTGGAATCAGTTCCATGAGTTTTTTGAAAATTTCTGTTTTGATTTTGCTGAAAAATGGTTGAAACAATGCCAAATTACGATCATACGGTTTACTCAAACTCATACGGCATTCATCAACTAAACACTCATATCTTTTTACTCACATGAGTTATCAGCATGAGACAAAATCAACCTATGTGAAATAGTTTGAACTTTCAGAAATTGGCATCTAAAAGTCAATTAGAGGTCAAATAACTGAATGACAAGCTTATTCTAGTTCCTTATTTGAAAACTCTGTTATTTCATAAATAATTTCATTACAGCATGCATCACATGGCGCCGATTCATTGAAGAGCAAACCAAAAGCAAAAGTTATATATTTTACTGTTAAACTCAAAGTACTAACTATCCTTATATTGCAATAACTTGGATCAACTCCTTTATTGCACTAATTTATACCTTAAGTACAAAATATATGTGAAGAAATTATGTAGCTGCAGATTTTCCTACTCACTGCGGTTATTATTGATCAGAGCAACTAATTGATGGAGCTATCTGAGCATATTATTTCCAAAGTTAATGATACAACCTTTATGGTCTACTTTAAACTTCATTTCGTTATACATCTCATGCCGGCTAGGTTGCGGTTCAAAACAATTCACAATAATATTATTACATTGGTTCGGAACCCACCCCTTTAAAATGGTTGATTACGCCAATTCATGAAAGAGGCAAATCAATTTTCAATTATTGTGGCCAACTCGAAATGGTCTCGTGTAGCAGCATTCCAGCAGAGATACAAGCGAGAGGAGCCAATATTAAACAATCGGTAATTAAATCTTTAGCTATATGTGTACCGGTGTTTTATTTCGAATCAGATGTTCTCCATTTCGGAAGTCTTGAAAGACTGCAATTCATTATCGTTTCGGTACGTTTATTAAATTCAATGTTCAAAAAATTTATCAATGAAAATCTTTATCTTCAGGCCCCTAAGAATCCTAATACAGCACAATTCAGCTAAATTTTCTGTTGTGAAACGGCTGCTACTCTGCAATACAGTGATCTTGAGACTAGATATTGTGTTTATGGAAAATTCAGTGATACTCTATTGTATATCTCAAGGTCAAGGTCATTTAAGGTCGTTTCGTTGTTTGAATAAGAATATTTGAATTCGCATAAGTTATCAATATGTCTCTAGCATCGAACAATAAACAACGTAAAATTTTTTCTCGCAGAAAATGACCTCCAAATATCAGTTAGAGGTCAAATAACGAAATGCCTTGAATGATCTTGACCTTGAGATTACAATTGAGTATTGTTGAAATTTCCAAAAACAAAATATCTATCCACAAGGTCGCTCCAGTGCAAAGTAATAGCCGTTTTACAACAGCAAATGCTCTGTAAAGGGGTACAATATTGAAAAAACTAAAACTAGTTGAATTTTCTGCTAGCGATGAGAATGCGACAGACATGCATTATGTTTTTCAGTGCATGAATTCATGTCCCAAACTTGAATAGTGCTCCCAACAGAATGAAAACTGGTAATATTTTGGTTAATAACTCGAAACACAAAGCTGGACAAGATTTATTTTATTTTTTGTAATTAGCATTGTATTAAAATTACCTTTGCGTATTTGTGATTTTTTTATATGCAGAGTATGATTCTTGATTTTTTTATTTCAATAATTTCTAATTTCCAAAAATCTATACAGAATATTGGATCCCAATCGAGTTGGACTGAAATGAACCCATTGATGATTTAGATCATGTTGAAATTTACTCCTGGTTCGGGCTAAAAGAATGTTGGCAAAATACTCAAATCTCAAACTTCTTTTCATTGAGCAAAACAATCACCTGGAAATTGAGGAAAACGAATTTGTAGTATAAATATATTCTTTAAAAATAAATCAAATGAGCTTCTACAAAAGTTAAAATTCAAAGGTCATTGTCGGGAGAAGTATAAGTCGTAGAAAAATGAGTTTTAAATTCGGTCGTTTCATGTGAAAGTACATCTAAATTATTTCTCGCAAGAAATTCTAATTCTTAGGCGAAAACAAGCATCCTTACCAACATGTAAAAAGCATCAACCGATCTGAAAAATTGTTGCACTTTAAGAAAACAAACAAAAGTCGATTAGAGGTCAAATAAATACATGACCTTAAATGTCCTTGACACAATATCACAATATGTGATTTTAACTGTAACTCAACTTTCCTAAGCATTGGTGAACTTACTGTACGCTGTACATAATACATGGCACCACGTTTTTCTAACCGAGCGAATTCACCGTAACTGGTAGGAACGCAATCGGAGTGAGCTTATCGTCTATGAAAAATTTCAAAAGTAAATATTGACGAGTAAATTGAATTGACTATTGTATTGGTATTGACACCATCAATTTCGAGTGAGATCATGAACCTTACAATTTTAATTTAGTCATTTTGCAAAAAAAACTTCACGAATCAAGCTTAAATTGTGGTGATCTTAATGATCATAATCGTATTTATATACATTCTGTTTCATAACTCCTGTTGTTCAAAAGACATGAATGTTTTGATGTCGTTCAATTAATCAAGCGGTTTCAAAAAAATACGGTTGAACAGGCGTAAAGGACTAAATAAACGATTGATCATTGATATAACTGTTTTCAATCATATAATGTGATTCCAATTAATATTGCATCTCATTTCAAAACATGTTTGATAGTCCGTTTATTAAAACAATTTCATTAGTTTCACCATCTCTTGACATCTTCACTAACTTTACATCCAATAATCATGAAAATAATAGCCATAGCAATAATGGTTACATTAAGTTTGTCCTTTTTGTTGTCCATTTCTAGATAAATTTCAGTCTGGGTAGTCTCAGTGAAACTGGGTAATGGTGAAGAAGGAACAAAATGTTGACCCTCATCAAAAAAGAGCATTTTTTCACCATCAATCCATTTATTCATTTCATTTTCGCCAAGCAAACTCGAAACATTATCATAGCAAACAATGCCTTTAATAGCAATAATAATAACAACGATAATGATAATGAAAATATTAATAACCTTACGAGTAAAAGTGTTGTCAATGGAAAGAAACATGAAAAATAAGAAGCAAGAAAAAAGCCAAATATTGAAAGTCACAACTGTAAAGGGTTACCAAGATTTTGTTGTCATGATGAGATTTATGATTGATGAAAAAAAAATTTGTCTCATGAAAGATGAGAGTCAAGGATGAAGTGGGATAAGAATGGTCAGGAATGATGAGATGAACAAATAAAGTCGAAAAGTATTTATAAACAATAAAATGAATGATTAATTTGATTAGGTTTACCAACGGAAATGAAAGAGTAAAAAAAGAGCGAGTTTATTGTTTATCAGTTGATGAGTTGATGGTAAGATTATCAGTTTAATCACAATTATTGGCTGGCAAAACAAGGTCATCCCAATATCCTGAGTTATTTCCAGAATTTTTGTTCCAATTCGGATATTTGCTTTATTCTGGTTCATTGTTGGATGCAGAATGTGAATTATCAAATAAGATTCATGTTTTGTTCATGCAACAGAAAGCACAATTTTAAATACTTTTCTGGTTCAACATTTTCATTGTAAATCAACTTGCCGTAAAGTTTATCAATTAAATTAAATTGTTTACTTTAATCAGCAAATTGTTGCAACTAGAGATGACAGAGAAAAGCCTTTGCATTCAACTTTATTTGCTAAATGGATAATCTGAAATGAAGAAAAATGAACTTTTCTTGTTTGTTGTACAAACACTTTTTGGTTCAACTTCATATTAATGTTCATGTTAACTAAAATTATCACCTTTATCACAATGCTTTTGGTGAATTTTAACATTTTTCAATTATTAATTGCACTTGCAACTCATTTGCTACTTTATAATTTTGGCTAATTGTTTCACTAATTAATAGGTTTGACAGACTAAATCAAGATAGACTCGATGATTTAATGGTCACATCTCTGTGTAATACTTTGACTTGGATGGTTAATTAACATGAAAAAGGGTTAGAAAATTTGTTCAATTTTACAGCTCATTTAGCTTCACTGGGAGTGAAAGTTAATTAATCAATTTTGTATAATAATTTAACCATCAAGAAGAGATTAAAGTAAAGCAAGAATAGCATTTTTAAGGAACCATCATTGCTGAAGATTAAAAGCCATTCTGAATGTCCTTCAATTCGTCAGCATTCAAATTTA